TCATGGAAACCAAATGATGATAAGCGTTGCCGCATTGACCGGTTCTAAAAGAAATATTTAGTCTTGAGGGAAGCTTCGAGATCGAGGAGAGACAAAACTAACTGTTCTCCATGGGGGTCAGTCATTCAGTGTTTTGTCATACCTCCCAACAAAATAATATTGGACTGGCACACAAATTTGCCGCGGTTTCAAGGAGCATGACCATATTACGTGCGAGTCGAAAGTTCAAGTTGTTGTTTGGGAGCACGTATTACGTGTCACGTTCTCCTCCAATCGAAAAACGTATACTTGAGTTGGGAGGAATAACAACAGAATTTTGAGATCGAAAACCCAATATATTTACAGGTCTTATCAAAAAGTAGGAAAAATAATGCTATCTGCATAATTTTTAACATTCAATTTTAAGAATAGCGGGTAAACGTTTCAGTAACCGATTAACTTTAACTTGCAGAGGTGGTTAGCAAGTAACTTCTCCCTATAATATCCATACATAACCCCGCACACAGGTAATGAAAATACTCAAACTTATCAGGAGGAAGTTGTAATCTGGATCTAACACCTAATTCTTGTAACTGATTCACAAGGAAATGTGTAGCAACTAAAGGGGAGAATTGAATTAACAATCAGATCTTGAGAGTTAAAGGCTTAAGAGTAAATGTCAGTAAAAATCAGGGAAATCGCGGACACAGCTCAAAATTCAATTTCGCCCATACTTTGTCCATTGGTAGGCTATAGTCCTATACATATGACAGCAATGTCCGTTTGTTAAAATTCTCGCTTTTATAGGAGAAATCTGCTTGAAACGGTTTACAATATTTTCTTGAACAAAACCTTTGAAATTCTTATCAATAAAGATTTCGAAATGCAAAGACTGGCAAAAACCAACGATAAAAACCGACGTTTCATCAGAGGCCTAAAACCCACTCTGAACATGCAAAGCGATTCAATTCGCGGAAAAGTATTTGTTTAATTAGCTCCTAACATATTTATGCTAATTTAGTGTTACACCTTGCCACAAACTTTGTAATTTTTTTATTTCTCCTTGACAATGGCGTCATGATGACACCGAAACGTCGGTTTTTATCGTTGGTTTTTGTCAGTCTTTGCATATCGAAAACCTTTGAAGTCATCATAATTCGGGGCGCTGTCGAGTCAGTTCATCGTACGTTTTAAATTAGTTTCACACTAATCCTATTCGTCTGATGTTTCTGCAATTGATTGGCAGCACAACCAACTCGTAACCTTTCCTTAAAAATATAATATGATTTTTTTTTCAAGTGCACCTACAGCTGCTCTAAAATAGATTCGTTGGTACTTCAAACAAACTTGCCAAAAATGCCCGCGGTACGCAATTAAATCGACCAGGAAATTTCCTGAGCCATGTTCAAGGATAGCTTCAACTTTCTACTGTTTTATTTCCCTGGGATCGTTTAAATCTGTGCAACAAGACATTCCTGAAGCAAGCCAATTTTCAATATCCGCCTTTTTGAAGTACTTAACACTTCACATGGTTGCAGTTAAAAGTTTCCAATTTGAAGCTCCTCTAAATTGTTAAGCGAAGCAAAATCAATGGAATAAGTTAAATATGCACCAGAGCAAAATGTAGAGGTACACGTAACAAAAATGCGTCGAGAAACGTTTACAAAATCTGCTGTGACTCACCTCTTAACCTCGTCTTTACGTGTTTGGCTCGTAATGACATGTTAGTTTGTTTCGTGCTAAATTATGCTTTCTCCTTTTCACAAGCGACCTTTGCTAAGTAAGTCAGCTTCATGTTGGTGACGTTTCTCATCAGAACACTTTTCGGTGTTGCGCTGGTAGACATAAAAACACCTGATACATTGCAACAATCGAGGACCGTTCAACACGGTTCGATCACTTGACTGATCTGTCACGCAATTGAATAACAGGCATCATCGAAGCCGTGACTGCACTCTTTTTAATGTTGGGAGAAGTAATTTTTAAAAGAGCCACATATCAATTGCGTGCAAAGAATGAACCCAATGTTTTTTAAACATAGTGACATTCTAAAGTTGAATGTTATAGTCCCAAAGATTTGCTTTTTGCTTGACCTGCTCAGGTAAGGGTACCTATCTCTGGACAAGCAACAAGAATATCACGTAATGAGCGACATATTGCCAATTATTCATAGACGTGGACTCGTAGTTAGGATTTTTGGCAGTTTGAATTTGAACAAACAGAAATCACCATAAAGCAACTTCCTTTCCATCTAAACCCATTCATTTTCTTACTTTTACAGTGTACCATAAAAGCCCACACTTTAACGTCAATTTCACCGTGTCTTTTCCACTTTTCGAACATTCTTGGACGCGTGGCTCCTGATCTGACATTGGTGAGGTCAGGTGATGTTATAAACTGGAAACAAATTATAGCTGTTATAGGGAGAATTAATTGCTTGATACTATTAGCGTTTGAATAATATTCAACTGCTTGATATGCTTAAACTAATAACGTTTGAATAGCTTATATAAACCAGCCAAATTCGTTTTGATTCTATATAAAAAAAAGCAAATGGAATAAAAAAGAAAAATTGACTGCCAAGCATTGTATTTTGCACGGATCACGATTTTCTGTGTTCTCGCCAGTGAAATACACTTCATCCGTGTTCCAACTTCCCATCTACCAGATCCGAACACGGGTGAAAGTGGTCACGGTCGGGTACAAAACTCTGTCCAAACCGTTCAACCATTCCGCGTAGGGGTAATGGCCCCTTTGGGGCACAAAATTCTCTCAAAACAAACAGAAACGTGAATAAATAGGCTCTTCTCATCAAGCGTCATGGCTTGCACTGGTTTCCAGCACTTTCCAGTACCTAAAGTTTGAACAGTGTTTGAATAAGTTTCAATACTGCTTTCCTTTATCAGTTGATATTAACGTAGATTATGGTGTAAACGATATTCACTCCTTGGTGGTCGTTTACTGACAGTAAATTACCATGCAATACGGTAACCTAAAAACACCCTTAGTGTAAGATAGATTAGATTCTCACGAAGACTTTTTCATCAACAAAATTAAAGCTACTCTTCATCAGAAAGTAAGGAAGAGGTATTATGGAAGTATTATTTAGCAGATCGCCTTAATTCTTTTTTGGCACATGCGCAAATAATTTTTTCAGAACCTCGCTTATTTGTTCCTTTGGAATTTCATAAAGGATTGCTATAATAACCCTTGCCATGACAAGAACATGGCCATCATTTGTTCTACAGTGTCTGGGAATGTTTGTAACACTATCGACACTTGAACAGGCAAAGCGTGGTACTACGAAAACATCAGAGAGTACTCCTTGCTAAAATAACCTCAATTTCCGTGTCACATCCAATAACCTTCAACTGCTTTTTTATGGCATGTAATATTCCTGTTGCAAGATACGAGGGGGAGTCCCTGACGAGATTGATTTCCCAACTTGGATCAGGTCCACATTCTCTCGACCATCAATGAAAACGTACAAGCTATGCTTGAGAAAGGTTTATTGTTTTAATGACGCAATCTTAAAAGACAATTTTCCGAAAAGTTCTCAGAGAAAATTGAAATTGACTGCTCCAAAATTCACACTTCACAGTGTCACGCAAGCAGACGAAAAGAACTGTTACTGGAGTAGGATACGATCAGATAAACCTTGCAGACATAACTAAATGAATAAAACTTGGACATATCCTGCTTTTTAAAATATTAATAAGGTTCAAATCAGCGAACTTCCTCATGCCAGTGATACTGATCTTTGGACAGGCGTAAGTAAGTAAGTTTATTTATTTACTTTGAACACAAAAGAGCTTACGAGAAAGCTCGTAAGAACGTGCACATGATAAATACCAAAATATATGTTATAATACGTAATAAAATAAATGAAAATCGTAATCTTTACAATTTATGACTTATGACCCATCCCTTCCAACCCGAAAATGCGCAGTAAGAAATCCCCAACTACTATAACTATTATAATGTTCAATTAAATATCGGTAGCTCTGTCATCAAACATGCGTGCCGACAGTCTGTTGACGGACACATTATAGACGCAAGTTGTTCCACACGCTACATAGTTTAAATTATTTATTATTTGATCAGTGTTTGTCATGGAAAAGCCGGAGTTTTCGTAGATTGTACATTATGAAAAGTAGAACTAATAAGTGAAATGCCCAGAGAGTAGATTTGCAACCGAAACCGAAGGTATCAATAAAACGCAACTTTTTGGTACAGTAGTCACCTAATGTGTTGTGTAAACAAACCGACAACAAGCAAAAATCTGCCAGAGTCTACCACCAATTTAATTAATTTTCTAGATAAGAAACTAAAATCAAGTCTTATCTTAAGTTAGCTTATCATGTTTTTACTTCAAATGTACTTTTCGACATGTGATCAATCGGTTTGATGGTCAAGTTAGTTGAAACTTCAATATGGCGGCTGCAGCAAATCTCGAAAATAAGCAAACTTCAAACAAGGGTTACTGCAAAACCAAAAATTATCCCAAAAAATTGAAAGTATATCCGAGAACGTCTATCCTTAAACTGTATCTGCAATTTAGTTATTGGGTTCTTCTTCGCGTACCAACAAGCGTTTTTGGCAGTTGTTTTAGGGTACCATAGAGCTTTTGAAAAACAGCCGCTGGATGTCATCGAGAAAAAAATTCATAAAATATTTATAACGAGAACATATCTGCTTTTCATGTCATCAATGAATTGTTCAAGGCCCTAACTATAATGTTATTGCAAAGAAAAGTTCACACTTTATTTTCGACTTACGCTGCCAAGCCATGAATATGACAGAATTTCGATACTTCGAATATCGAAATTTGGCTCGATCCGCACTCGACCGTTTTTATTTAAATACTCTAAAAAAAAAAGATTAGAAAAAACTAACCCTGTTTTGGTTATTTCGGTACAAGGGTCTATCAATATAGAAAGTATGAGCGAAATCGATTTTTTGGCTGTGTCTGCGATTTTGATGATCATATCTGATTTTTACCGACAGTGCCTCTTAAACAGTTCGCTATTTTCTTTTCATCCTCAAGAGCACTGCTGAGTCCGCTACCCATGATTCATGTAGTGCATTCAATACCACGCAGCTACAGTCTGAAAGAGCTTCCTTTCAAGATGTCGTGCGTAAAACAATTGGTCGAAGATTTGGCATCGTAGGAGCTGATGTCCAAGATCTTCAGGTAAATAGCAGCATGAGAATACGTACAAAAGAGCTGGATAAATAATGAAAAGAAAAAGGTTTCCGTTGCAGTTATTTAGTCTGTTTTTCCTCTCTAAACCTCGTTCCCAGATCATTTCAACCCTTCCTCCCCTACTCATTCATAAGGGGTTATGAAAAAAATATGAAATAAGGTGTTTCCCCAAACCCCCTCTCCTAAGTCCGTCCCCAAAGGAGAGGGGGAGAAAAAGGAAGGAAGACAGAGCTTTCTCTCTTTCCTTTTACTGCATACCACGATGTTTCGATTGTATGTTGCCAGTGTTAGGCGCTAAAGTCACCTTATTTTTTATTTTTATTTTATTTAACGATTTAATGGCAACATAGCAAACAAAATAGAAAAAAAAAAAAAGAAAAGAAAAAAGGAAATGCTATAGGGATAGTCCGTAAAAGAGTCAAAGACCCTATACTCACACAGACCACCCAGCTAGGCATTCATAGATTATGCTAGTAAAAGTGGCATATTATGCTAGTAAAAGTGGCATATTATGCTAGAAGCATTGCTTTTTTTTTGGCCAAATTATGCTAACATTATGCTCTTTTTTCCAAATTATGCCACCGTTTTTTTAAATTATGCTCTTTGAAAAAATGCAAATAAGTCCAAAAAATATATTTTTTAACTAGAAGCCTTTAGTCTACAGGAAAGAAACGCAACAAATCCACAATGAATTTCAAATAAACATGTGGTTCAGGTTAGACCCGGGCTCAGTGCTTCACAGTGAACTACAAATGCTACTAGTTTAACTAAAACTTTAAATATTGATTAAGATCACCAAGTGCTTGGGACTAGAGACAAAAAATTATCAAATAAGGGCATCAAAAATGATCTGATAATTATC